CAACAATAAAATAGGAATAAAATCAAACAATAAGAAAACGGCAGAAACATAGTGAAAAAAGTGTGTAAGGGTGGGACATACCAAACAAGTGTGAAATGGTGGTTATGATGATTACACAGTGAACAACTGGATGGCTGTGTTGGCATTCAGCTCGGGTTTCATCTTATGGGTATGCAGGGATTCTAGGATGAGGAGGTCGAGTCTGTTAGGTGTGGAAGACAGAATTTTAAAATCACTGTGAGTGAAAGGATGGTCTTCTGTTTGTGAATGATGGCGGATACCGGAGAAAGATGGTCTGCTCAGAGGTAGGCTGGTTCTTATTGACTTACCCATATGCTCAAATATTCTATGTTTGAACCATCGTGTAGATGATCCAATGTACCTAGCATTGCATCTAGGACAGTTAAAAATATACACAATATTTGAACATAATTCTGAGGGCAGAAGCATTTTCATTTTAAAGAAAGAGTTGATATTATAGGAGTTCACAAAAACAATGTTGAATTTAATTTGTGGGAATGAATGTTTCAGTATCTCACGTAATTGTTTACGGATGGTGAAGCTTATATGTCCAAGATACGGTAACTTTATATACTTGGTTTCTTTGGGAGCAGTCTGTATTTTCGTGGGTGGACTTTTTCTATTTCACACGTAAACTTAATGTTAGGGTGTTGGTCATTTAGGTAAGAAAGGAAATGGTCAATGTGTGACTGTTGTTTGAACAAGAGGAACGTGTCATCAATATACCTTTTGTAGAATATTGGTTTGAAATCATTTGGACAGTTATTTAACCAGTTACATTCATGGTGACATAGGAAGGCGTTTGCGTAACTTGGGCCAAGTGGTGAACCCATAGCTACACCATCTATCTGAGTATATAAATTGTTATCAAATGTGAAAACAGAATCTCTTGTGGCAATATTTAGAAAAGAATTAAATTGTTTCTTGTTTAGACCAAACTGTGATATGGACTCGTCTGATATGGAGTCCGTAATAATCTGTGTAGTTTCTGACAGAGGAACGTTAGTGAATAGTGATTCCACGTCAAAGCTGGCCATTACTGTGGAATCTTCAATGTTGAGTTGTTTGATTTCTTCCACAAAATCCAAAGTGTTGGCAGTGGTATACTCATTAATGGTTAGGGGTTGGATGATTTTGACAAGGAATTTAGCAAGGTTATAGTTAAATGTATTAATAGAGGACACAATAGGTCTCAGGTCTGTCCCTATTTTGTGAACTTTTGGGAGTCCATATAAGTAACCGGGTCGAGAGCCAGAAGCAAGAATGGAGTTATATATGGTTTCATTGATGGTTTCTTTTAAAGGTCATAATATCCTGTTTAATTTATCCTCAAGTTTTAGGAGATGACTGGGAAGATCAACGTGTAGAAGTTTAAATTTAGATGAGTCTGAAAGGATGCTAGATATTTTGTTATAGTAATCATTCTTATTCAGGATAACTATGCCTTTCCCTTTGTCTGGTCTTGTTATTACAATATTTCCATCATCTTTTAAATTTTGAAGAACATCAGAGTATTGTTCAGTATGGTCAGGGCTGTGTACAGATTCTCTGTAATGCTGTACATACATATCATTAGCAAGCGCAGATATCTTGTTGAAAACTGTGTTAATTGTATCTTTGTAGATGTTACAGTTTTTGAGCATCTGACAGGTCCGTTCGAAATGAACAAAGAAATTGGCAAAACTCGATTTGCGGGGTCGAAGACCAAAATCCAAGCCAAGTGATAAAACATTCTTTTCCTTATCAGTTAGAATTCTGTCTGAGAAGTTAAAGATTATTATTTTGTTTGCATCAACCTTTTTGCTTAGATCAATGCCCAAGTTTTTTAACTTTCTATGGTGGATAGCACTTACAGAAGACAGTCTTTTCTCTACATTCAGATTAATTAATGCAGAAAGGCATTGAAAGTCGAACATGTTGACTTTAGATCTTAAGTCAAGGACATGGTTGTTTGTAGTGTCCCTAAGTTTTGTGAGCTTTCTGTTTTGTTTCTTAATTTCACGGTCAAGTAATTTGAAAAGCCATGATTTGTAGGTGCTCGTTGAAAGGAATGATTTATCATATAGTTTGAATTTGAGGAAATTGGGGATAGTGCCATATAATTTACAATAGTTGAGAAATTTAAGGTTGAGTTCTA